GTCTGCCGCATTGTATCTAGTGGTCAATTTCTGTTGCATCTAGTGGTCAATTTCTGTTGCATCTAGTGGTCAATTTCTGTTGCATCTAGTGGTCAATTTCTGTTGCATAGACGTTTGTTTTGGACAACAACGAGTAGCTTTTTCTGGTAAAATATGCGCCAACAAAATCGAAATACAAGTGAAAAGAGATCATTAAAATACAATACTTCAGCTTATTGATTAAATATGAAATCTTTATATATTCCCTATCTTAATTTTTTTTTTTACCAGTTAGTTTCCTAAACTTGTTTTCTTGAACAGTTCATAAGCTCATCATCAAATATGCATGTGTGACACTTTCTACTTATGATATCAAACTTATGATATCAAACTTATGATATTCATCAATGACTCTTACGCTTGCAGCGATGATAAAACGTACAATCCTTCGATTGTACCTAGATAATTGAGGTCGTGTACATTGTGTGTGGGAGGAGTGGATGGGGAAGGGGGGGGGGTTGTAGGATAAGTAGTCGTGATTTATACGGATCGCTGTTGTTCTCTAGTAGGGTTACAAAGCTGACTGAGTTGGTTGTATGCTATTGATAAGTTTCGTAGCTCAGTTGGTGCTCTGGATATCGTGATTTTTCAAATATCGACCCCTACGTAACTTACTAAATTATACTCGACACTGACGAAAATCCAAGAAAATCAGTGGGGAGAGAGAGAGAGAGAGAGAGAGAGAGAGAGAGAGAGAGAGAGAGAGAGAGAGAGAGAGAGAGAGAGAGAGAGAGAGAGGGGGGAGAGAGAGGGAGAGAGAGGGGGGAGAGGGAGGGAGAGAGAGAGAGGGGGGAGAGAGAGGGGGGGAGAGAGAGGGGGAGAGAGAGATAGGGGGAGGGAGAGATAGGGGGAGGGAGAGAGAGAGAGGGTGAGACAGAGAGAGAGAGGGGGGGAGACAGACAGACAGACAGACAGACACAGAGAGAGAGAGAGAGAGAGAGAGAGAGAGAGAGAGAGAGAGAGAGAGAGAGAGATTTCGAGAGTGACAGACAGACACAGTCATATATACATAAAGAAAAAAGATCTAGATCTAAAGCTTGGAAAACTACACGCAGCCGTAACAAAGGGAGAATACGACAACGAGAGGACTACATATTAAGAGACTGTTGATGATGCAAGCCCATGGGCTGTGTGGCAATCAATATACTATAACATTACATGTAGACACTTATGTAGAAGTAAACTGAACCGTAAATACACACTCCATGTTGTTCATCGTGTTTTTGAGTCATCTCGGCGTATTCTGAGTCAAAGTGTATTAACGAATGTGTACAGTGTATTGTTTCTCATCGTGTGGCAACGATATGTAGATCTATCATACAGAGTTTCAAAACGCGCTGTCGTCTCCTGGGGTCACGACTCAAACGACAACGTAATAGTCTCTCTCTCTCTCTCTCTCTCTCTCTCTCTCTCTCTCTCTTTCTTTCTTTCTTTCTCTCTCTCACTCTCTCTCTTTCTCTCTCTCTCTTTCTCTCTCTCTATCTCTTTCTCTCTCTCTATCTCTTTCTCTCTCTCACTCTCTCTCTCTTTCTCTCTCTCTCTCTCTCTTTCTCTCTCTCTCTCTCTCTCTCTCTCTCTCTATATATATATATATATATATATATATATATATATATATATATATATATATATATATATATATATCTTTCTCTCTCTGTATACGCGCGTATGTGTGTGTAGTGCGTTGCATGAGCCCCATGGATTTCTCTTGACTTTGGCATATCGATTGGCTTTGATTCTTGACTATTCTTGAATTGCACACAGCTTGCCTTATCCTTTCTTCTTTCATCTGTCGTGTGTGTATGTGTGTGGTTGGGGGGGGGGGGGGGTAAGGGGTGTGTGAAAGGGAAGTGCGGGCTGGTGAAATATGTTAAATTGTGTTCTGATGTGTATTCTGTTTTTAAATGCCTGTTCCCAAACTACAATATATTCTCGTCCCATAGATCTGTTGTTCTCTACCCCCCCCCCCCCCCCCCCC